AGTAAAGTAGCTAACACGTAATGGAAATCCACACTCTTAAAAAAGACGGCTCTTCAAGGGTTCTTTAGTAAAGAAAATGTTTCTATATAGAACCACAAATGCTCAAAGAACCCACTGCATGATTAAAGGGTTTTTTGCATTGATAGAGAATGTGCTGTGTGTTTCCATATAGAACCTTTTTGGAAAGAGTTGTGTATAGCACCCAAAAGGGTTCTGCTATTGTCACAATGTCAAGCTTGTATACAACTCTTTCCAAAAAGATATAGATTCTATATAGAACCATATACAGCACATTCTCCATCAATCTGAAGAACACTTTCACCATGCAAAGAAATATTTAAGCATGAAATGGTTCTATATAGAACTCATGGTTCTGATTGTGTCATTCCTTTTATTAAAGAACGCTTGAAGAACCATCTTGTTTAAGAGTGTATGGTACCCAATTTTTTTCTTTTCTGGTTTGTCTTCAGATATTTGTAAGTTTTTTCTTTGGAAAGCTTTAGAGAATCCAGCCCCAGGATCTACAGTAAGAACAAGGGCATCTGCAAAAACCAACGTGTATCTGTCTCACCTTGCTGAAGCAGATGGAAGCACAGGACTAGACAAGCCTCAGCAGTGTGAAGCTGTGAACTGACATTCACCCAGCTGCAAACAGCTGGACTCATGCTGTCAGCAGTGGTAATGCGAGCCTTTTGCAGGCCTGGCTGTGTAGATAATTTGTAGAGAGGAGAACTGCCACTCAATGTTGTCTTCTGGGTTTGACAACGAGTCCAAAATGAATGGGTTAACATGGAACATTTGAGCAAAGTCATAGTTTGTAAACGCTTAAACATGTTTTATATAGAAGAGTGCATTTATTTCCTGAACACAGAACAGCATAGAATTTTTTAACTCTGCTGTTACATTTTGAACGCTTTTGAACTCTAGTTTAGAGCTGTGTAACAGCATCTCATGTACAATCATGACGTCAGCAAGCACGAACCGCTTCACTCAGCCAATGAGCTGATCAGCTCGCCAACCAGTCAGCACTCAGTAGCAGTAATGCTATTGTCCCACTGCCTGAGACCTGTTTGCTGTAGAAAAAAAGAACTATACAGGTAAGTTTTCTGTGCTTAAGTATGTTTCTCTACTTTCTAAAATTAAAGGAAGTGGTTAGAAACTATTTTAACTTTTTGTTTGGTGCCGTGTCTGAAATGGTCCCCTAATCACTTCACCCTACATTAAAAAATCTGGATCACTATATAGAACAAAATTATAGGGAACAGAATTTGTGATGGCAGTAAATGATTTTGGACACCAACGTTATGTGGGCTTGCTCATTACTTACAAGCAACACAGTGCATTTTGGGTGGCCTCTATTCGCAGTGCATTGTGGGATTTTTTTAAGTGCAGTGGTTATTCTGTACTATGTTTTCAGACACCACTACAAAATGGCAGAACCTCAAAATTTCATGCTGGTCTAAGCTGGCCACCCCAGCATGGTCATGCTGGTTGACCAGCACACCAGTGTCAAAACACAACATATGCCAGTTTTGGTGGTGATCAGCTTATCAACTTCCAATGCTGTAGAAAACAAAACCCTTCACTCTGTCATGGTATCTTTCAAAACCCAGTTACGTCTTTTCACCTAAATGCATCCACATGTGTTGCTAAAGAACTGCAACGGTTGCTAAACAGTGATTTGAGAGCTGAGGAAAACGGGGCCAGTCTTGAAATCAGTCTGATCAGCCCAGTCCCTTGGCAGGCCAGTCGTGCCCCTTTTCTCTAGTGCGGCACACGGTTTATGATGTATACTGGATACTGTGCTGCATATGACTATGAAGAGCAGCATGCAGTATAGAGTATACACTACTACAGTATGCAGTATATTAGTATCCCATTTTGAATGCACTCTATGAAGGAAAACACTGCCTTGTTCTTTCAGGGAAAAATTCATTTTTGTATTATGCAAACACAAAACATACATTTTACCTCTCAGCACATAGAAGGAAACTACGCTACAAAAACACCTCATTTATATGGTTGTGATGTCAAAGCCATAAAAGCCTTTACAGATGTCCACCCATTCACTCTATACAGCAGAAGAGCGCTCATTTACATATATCAGACTTAAAGGCACAGCAACAAAAGCAGCCTGTTTAAGCGTTGGGAAATTGTCATGTAAACATTAGGACTGTTTTTGGTACACTACTGTTCAAAAACAGTTAAAAATCTTAACTAAATAAATTTAATTTATAAAATCAAACCAATTTGGTTGCATAAAAGTGGGGTGAAACAGTTATAATGTTGGTCAAGGGCAACTTCACAGCTTTGAAATAATTAGTGGGATGCTGAAGAAATGTTTGATGCATCCAGAATGCTGAATGAAGCTTTAGAAGACTGTAAAATGACAGAAAAAGCTGTATAACATTAAAACGTAAGTTATTTAAAAATGAAATAAAATTAAATAAAACATCTAAAAACAGCTTCTGGCACGTTTGTCATATTTAAATGTAAGTTACTATTGTATATAAAATATCAAAAAAATGTTAATCTGGCAAACTTTGAAACAGTAATGTACATAAAACCAAATAAGTATTATAAAATGACATTGGGGATAAAGAAATTAGGAAGAATATAGAATGAGTGGCCTGTTCTCAGTATATATATTGATTTTGCTTTACTTGTTTCATTTGCTACGTGTACCATGTATGAGAAGTTGTGATACTCCTACTTTGCCACTGTTGCTGTTCTGAGAATTGACTGCAGCATGTCTGTACAAGCAGTGTCAGTTTCCAGTGGCCTCTCTAATGAGCAGCCTGTTTCAACAGGACAGGCATTAACCTTGTGTTTTGTATTTCTACATATGTATGCATGTGGATTATTCTATATCTATATACCTGCGACAGTTAAAAGTCTGGACATCTATTTTTAAAAGGGTTTTGTTTATTTTTGGCATTTTCCCATCTTAGAATATTAGTGAACACATCAAAACTATGAAAAAATGAAATTATGCAGGGATCAAATAGTCTTAAACAACTGTAAGAGCATAATAACAATCTTATATGTTAGTTTTGCCCCGCTTCATCTTGATGCATGATGACCTTATGCAATCAAAATGTCTTTAATCTTGTGAAAACATACATTAAATCAGAGGTGCCCAAAGCTGGCATTGAAATCCAACTTGTTTCTTTATCAGAATTGTAAAATAGCAAGTAAGCATACTGTACCTAATACAAAGGGTTGTCAGGTCTTGTACGGTTGCCATCATTACATTTTTGAAGATGTGTTTAGTCTTGCAAATACCTCTCAAACGTGGTTTCTCATTGGTGGAATAAGTTACTTACCCCCACTCATCTTGCAGAACCTTCAAGAATCGTCCTAGGACCCTCTTCTTTAGTTGATCCTACTACACTCACCACTTCCCACTGTTATTATACAACATTATTTAGCTTGCATTGTGCAATAGTCGGATTCTGTCCTTCACATTGTGTATTGTTAAACTGTATTTTGCCCCACGTTTCTCTGCACTTAATGTGCCTTTTTGTCTTTCACTGGAAGTGCTACTCCTCTTAACTCCTACAGCTGTCTCCATTATTCCTGAAGAGATCAAAGCATCTGCCAAATGAATAAATGTAAATTATAAGTGACAGAACGACTAAAATAGGATAAATTGGAAATCTCAATTAGAAGGGTCTGTACAGAACAATCAGGCAAACACTGGCATCAACCATCATAAAGCAAGAAACAAAGCAAATCTCTATATCACCACCCTCCTTCTCACCACTAGTGGAGGAGCAGATGTGCCTGTGGTTTTTCCTTTGAACTGTAACACTGCCAATGGCACCAAATACTAATTAAAACAGGGGGCAGGTAAAGGACTAGAAGAAAACTATATTATTAAAGGAAGACTCTGTAGAGAAATCTAATTTACACAATCAGACGTGTTTGCCGTGTTTGTTGTCTGAGGTTTGCTTCTTTAGTTTTGGATTGCAGCCATAAGGCTAAAAGCTTACACCGCACCAATGTCATCAGGCAAGCTATTGTCTCAATATCACACTTGCCTCAAACCGTGTTGTTAAGTAACCTCAAACAGACTTGCAGGCCGTTTCTAGCTATAAGGGGCCCCACAATAAGGTATTAAATTATGTATTCAAAAATCCAGAGTCTAGAGATGCTCTTAGATTCTTTACTCATCAAAAAAGAAAAAAAAAAATGATTGATTCTTATACTATTCCTGCATACAAAAGAATATGATTGTGGTGGGTGCAGTGTGGGCCCCTCACAAAGTATACATGTTGTACACACTACACCAGCCCTGCTTATGTGGTTTTGCACTGTATGCCTGTTACCTATACTACAATGAGTAAAACCATTAGTTAAACAGGAGTCATGTTTAATGCTTTGTTGATCTTCTAAGTGAACATTTGACCAGGGGTGTTCAAACTTTTGCCTACGACTGTACCTCTGTCCAGTAGCCTTGCAGTTCTAGTGCAAAACCGAAGACTAAACCATCAGACATCACACATGTCCTGGCTGGCCTTGGGTTAAGGGGGGATATTGCACAAATGAGACTGAACTAGTCTTTAAGACGGAACTGCCTGAATTCAATGCTGCAGTGCTCACAACCAATTCGACTCATAAGCTCATTGCCCAGTAGTGCATGGGTTGTTGTATTAGGCTTATTAGAGCTTCTGAAATACTAAACTCTGGACAGAAACAGTGAGCCTGCAAAAAGTCTCAGCTGTTCAGAGATGCCATCTGTGAGGCTGCAGTGAGTTTAGATAAAGGACAGCTGCTATGAGGGCAATTTCCAGCAGATGGCAGCCTACAGCCCTCCATTCTTGACAGGACGAACTTCTGCCTATTTCAGCAGAGATGGCAGTAATTTGGCACTGATACATCAGATTAGGCTTTCCGCAGACTCAAACATGGGTGTATAACGTTTGGAGAAATACATTACTACTTCCCGACCTCAACTGTAAACCTAAAAAAATAACACTACACCAAACCATGACGTTCTTGGTCAAACAAATTTTATTATACTATAAACAGCATTCAATATTGTACCACAAAGTCTTGCAAGTTAAGCATTTTTCTCTTATTTCCACTGCATACCTAATCTGTGTACATTATTTACAAGTTTTCGTCAAAAAAGATATAGTGTGTTTGATCACTGCTGACTGGACCTCTTTATATCGCTTTGAAATAAGGTCTGTGAAAAAAGTCAAGCAATCATTTCCATCACAAGCTCCTACCTATTTGCTAACATTCATATCATAAAAATTGACATTCATGGGGCGAAACCAAATCAAAAACAAATAATCTTTCATTATACTGTGGTAGGGATTTAGATAAACTGATAAAATCTTCTGCAAAATAGCGTCATTACCACAAATCTGTTAAGAGGTAGCTTTAGTGGAACATACAACCTCTTAAATATGCTAATTCAAAGTGCAAACAACGAAAACCAACCAACAGAACATAAAATTAAGATATTCATAGGATTTATGCTTAAAATGTTTACACTTATCATATATTCCATTTATGTATTTCTCTTTCAAGTCCAGCTTCCCCTCTTCATATTTGCCATTTTAATGGGAAATATCATGAGAGAAACATTTTCAGTCAGAACATGACATACTTGTCAGGATAAAGTCAAAGAACAAAAAAAAAAACACGTAATCTAAAGAAAATGTTAAGCAGATTTTGTTGTCCTTTTTGCTGTTACTTCAATTATACTCACATAAGGGGCCCAAGGTGGGTTGGATATTGGCACTAGCTGTAATTTCACTGCCAAAACAACTTGGGTTCTACAAGCCTATTCTATGGCAAGAAGCACAAAGAAATACAGAGATTAAAAGAATGCAGATGTTGCATAGTAAGCGTATTAACCCCATTACCCTCCCTCCAACAACTGAAAGGCCTGCCCACCTTTTGGAGCGCTTATATATAAAATTAGAGTATTCTACGCATGTAACTAGTCTTTTGTTATTTCTTTCAATTACTCTACTGGTACAAAGGTCATGTTAGGCAACTACAGGCCCAGTGCAAATTACAGATTTTCCTTTTTTGTGCAGCACCACTACAACTAGAAGAAATGACAAAGGGTTACACAAGTAAAAAACAACAAATGAAAAGAAAAAACAAACAAAAAATGGTCCAGCTATGATAAAATAAACAGAATGACTGAACAAATAGTATAAACTCAGGAGCAGGTACTGTAAATTCTGAACTAAGAAGAGCAGGACTTATCTCTTCAGAAAGTGTCTACCAGCTTGATTCCCTTTTCATAAAGTTACAAGGAATCCCCCGAAAACGATCTTGCGAGAGTTGGTGGTATATTAGCAGTCATGAAGACAGTTATACAGTAGTAGTGGTACTTTTTTTTCGCAAAACAATTACAATATGTAGGTGAATGTACGTCAGGCACTTACGTATAGACGATCAGCTTTTTGAGAAAACGTCACATGGACACTGGTAACATAAGAACTATTCATGACCCAAGTTAAAGGAAACTTCTGTAAAGTTGTGGAGAACAAGATACAAATCTATAGAGGACCCTTCTACAACGGTTCGGTTTAGAGTCTTCCACTGTTCTGGGAGCAAATCCCATAGATCTGTCAAGCATTGGAGAGAACAAAGACAGGTTGCCTGTGCACAGTAATTGGAGGAGATGGGACGACAAGTAAATTTTGATTTGTTTTTATCTGTCCTTAGACGTCAGCTTCTCGATCAGCTCCTGAAGGGGTGCCAGTTCTTTCCTGTCAATCAAGTTGAACTCCTACAAAAGAACAGAAAAGATTAGAGGGGTGTGCCATCTGGAAAGTGAACACTGATTATGCAACTGATCAGAGATGACCTTTGGTTTACTTGAATGTCAACAAGACATCTAGCGTTTTCCCTCGAAGTAAAAACAACTGAGCAGTGACGGTCCAGTGTAAAAATTCTTTGCAAAATGCTTTCTCACTTCCAAACAGCTGAAGTTTTTAGCAACTTTAGCATTTTGTCTCAAGCACTTCTTTAGATGACTGAAAATTGTTTATTTTGTTAAGCAGGTTTTTCAAAGGAAATGTCAGAGAAGCTTCTTTGTTTATACAAACTGTGGCATACACACCTGAACGAAGAAGATGAAGTGTTTGAAGGAGGTGTTGAGATGGGCCTCCTCCTGCAGCTGGATGACTGAATCAAAGTGCTGGTGGTAGATGTGAGCGTAGACACGGAACAGACGCTTCAGGATGGTCTTTGCCACTGACATGAAGTTCTTTGGGAAAGGGACACCTGGGACACAGTCAAGAGAGGAAACAGGTTTAGATCAGTTTATAAGCTAAAAAGTTAAGACACTGCATAAAACCACTTTTTCTTTTCTAATACTAATATTAAAACCTTGAGTATCAGCTGAGACTGATCAAATATTTTTTTCTTTAAAAACTATTAAGCTTTACAATGAGCTATTTTTAATAAAAGAACTTCCCTTAAGATGATCACCTAAAAGTAGACCATCATGCTCAAAGTACTCAAAGACTCTTCTACACCACATGTAGAAACATACAGGGTTTCACTAGGTTCACTCTTTTATCTCTCCAATACCCAATCCAGCATTTTCAGCTACTGACCCGGTACCAGTAAAGATCTCTCTACTTAATGTTCTCATTTAGTCACAATTTGGAAAACATGATTCTTCCTGCATTATAAACAAACATTTTATACATAGTACATTCAATACAGCCCATTCTGTTAGACTGCAATTAATCATTCTTCAAATGACAATGATCCTACCTATTTTTTGGTGATCACCATTTTATTGGGTTTTATAAAATCAATTAAAATGTAAGTATACACACAAAGTAGATAAAGGAGGAGGAAATTTGCATAGAGTAGTTTATCTGAACTATGTACTGTCTGTCAGGGTAAAATATTAAATAAATTAAATAAATGTTTCAAAATTACATTTGTAACTTTGGCTGGTTATCTTTAGAGCTTTATAAAACTATACTGAGCCCAGTTGTTTACCAAAGGGAAAAAGTGAAGAAAAGAAAAATCAAATCAATTCTATCAATTTAATACAGAGGTAGACCTATTGGTGGGCAATATGACAATATTTTATTGTTATTACAATAAACATACCACATGCAACACCAATACCATAAACACATTGTCGGTATTTAAAGAATACTGACTATCATTATGGATATTGTGTACTGTGGAAATGTCAAAGCATCCTGATATAATATTGTTGCCATATCCCGCACCCTTAGGGACACTATGTGTCAGGATGTCACATACTGTAAACGTATACCATAGTACACTACTTGCAATTACTATTATACATTAATTCTTTCTGTGTGTTAGATGATACCTTAGAAGATTAATTATAGTTTTAAATGCTCCATCCCAAGCTTGAAATTGTGTAATTCTAGGGTTGTTAAACAAAACAGTGGATTATAATTTTCTTTGCCGCTGTTAATCCTTAAAAAAGACATTTTCTTGGGTTGAATATAATAAAATTGTGGAATCATAATTCAGAAGGAACAAACATAGGTTAGCCTCAACTGTTAAGTGCAATATGTGTGTCATAATTTTAGAAACCTGTGTGATCCTACCGATTTTTGAAGGAAACAGTGTTTCATCATCAAGCTGGTCCTGGACCCAGGTCATCAGGTAATCAATATACTTGGGAGCAGAGCATTTGATTGGCTTTTTTATGTTGGTTCCATCAGCCCAGTGATATTCATACCTGAAGATAAAATCAGTTTAAATAAGCAACCGACAATCAACAACCATGCATGACAGAACAAATCCCCATCTCAACTCATTTTAATATGTGGCATCCTAACGCGTGTGTGCAGTTAATACTGAAGCTAGTATCAACCGCAGAAGAATCATTTCCAAGTAGGCGGTAAGTTTTGAACACAAAGCTGGCCACAACTATAGGGATTTTGTTTATCAAGGCACAGTCAATGCAAGGGTACCATCAAAAGTGGTTTTCCTAAGTTACAGTTTTCCTAAATTAAGTTTTTGTACTTTTTCATAAACTAATGTTTTAAAATAAAATAATAAAATAAAAGGTATATAGAGGTGTATAGGTCAACACAATTTAAAAATATATATTTGTAAGGGAATAGAGTACAATTATGTTGCTCAACTAAAGGTACTGCAGATGTACCCTTGAGGGCACCAACCCAGTGACAGTGTAGTACAATTTTTAACCCTGACAGTACAGATGCAAAGTAACCAATTAGCCGTCTAACTTTTGAGACATTCAGGACTTCAAAAGTAACTCTTACTTAGGTCCAGCAGACATTAGAGGGCAGTTTTCTTCAGTGCAGAAGTCAGTGATGGTCCCATACAGCATGTTAATCTGATTAAAGAAGTCCACAGCTGGGGAAAACACAAAGCTGATCATTAGAAACCTATTCAATTGCACAAAATATAAGTGAGCAATTATCTACATTTAGGAACACTGAGAAAACTCATTCAGGTGAAGAGCATTTCTATTTTCTATAAGTCTACTGTAACTGTGGTTTGACTCTATATGCTTCAAAGGTTTTGCTAATTATCAAAGGGAATCAAAGGAGTTGTACATTTTGTGTCTAACAATTAGGCTATAACCTAAAAGCAAACGAGCAAGGCCTCATCTGAGTTCACACCCAAGACCTCGGGATCATGTTTCAAAACAACATGGCAATAGCCATAAACACTCTTTGTTCTGAGATCATGCAAACAACTTCGTGTATCACCTGCATTTCAATTCCTGAATGTTAGTGAGGGTATTAGCAATAAAGAAAAATGGGCAGATACACTACTTTTATATTATCAGTCTCCTTCTCTGTGACAAGGCTATAGTGTAGGAGTTACGCCCATTCACTCGCGGTCCTCTACAATTAGATGAAATTCAACACCTTGGCCATCTCAAACAGACTGCCACAGTTTTAAACCACCCTTGCCCGAGGCTAGCAGACACATTAGGAGCTAGTTCCACTGCCTTATCTCTATTGTTATAAATAGGCTGCAACCAGAGGCAACAGGGCCAAGTAAACGCCTTGAGGATAACTGGTATACAAAATAGGCAGCAGCACAGCAAAAGCAGGTCTAATATGTAGCTATGTTTAGAACGGAGGAAAGCAGCACCGAAGATGCAACCAAATCAATGGAATGCAACACAATATTGATTTACAGGGGGAGGGGAATTATGTAGCTATATTGTGCCAGGTTAGAGTACACACTAGAAAACCTATTTTTACTCTGTCAGTTCAGTGTCTTGGGAAAGTCTGCCACAGCTGAACGGGGCAACGGGCCACTGAACCGTGAGGAACATCAATAGAACTTGTATAATGGCTTGTCATGAAGTATGCAGCATCAAAAGATGCAATGACCCAGACCAGCATGTATGTTCACTGATCCATGGTCACTAATAAATCCATCTCTGTTGCACACAAAGAGACACTCAAACAGTAGTCAGTGGTTAGCAAGTTTTTGAGCATGTTACCAGATAGGTGTGCAATTTCAGCTACATTTTCAGCCAAAAATATAAATATAAAAATGCCACTTAACATTTTTTACTTTTTGTTTTAATAGGCCTGTAATACATTGGCAAAATCTGACAAGGAGCTTACACCTGATAAATAGCAATAAAAAAAAAAATAGTGACTGAAAACGCTGTTTGGTTCCTTTAGTCTCCTACGCTGGTCAACAGCAGCAGCAGATGATTAACAGTCTGCTCTGCATGAAACCATTTCACAGCTTTTTGAGGGACACTAAACAAGCAGTTCGCTCTCTGTTTATGCTGAACATCAAGAAGGGGTACAATGCCCAAGAACTTCTCCACTTCAGGTTTGACATTGCTTAAAACACTCTATATGCGGAATACAGCAAAACAACAGAAGCACAAAGGAAAGTCGCTGCTAGCAAGCTGACGCCATGTGTAACCACAGTTTTTGAATTTGTTGCCTTGGATGACCAACCTTTCTCTGGACACATGAGGACGAAGGATGAAGTTTATATTAACTATTTTTATTTATTGTCAGCTCAGTTTGGTCCTATCAGTAAAAGTGAAGTTTTTGTGAACTTTTTCACTTTAAATTTGAGGTTTTATTTTAGTGCTTTATTACCACCAACTTTAATGCTGAGGGCACTACTAAGAAAGTGGAAACATGCAAGTATGACAGTGTCAAGTTTGTAAGCGTCATATTCTGGAAGCCAAGAATTCCAAAACCAAAAAATAAGTAATCTGACCTTGGAGCCACAAGCTGCTGTCTCATATTTCCAGCCTCACACTGTCTGGTACACGTTACCTCTGAGCTACAAAGGCCCTACAATTCAATTACATAAGCTTTAATTTGGACTTAACTGCTTGATTTCCTCTTCCTAATTGGTGTATGCACAAAAAAAAAATCTTGTTTTTTTAAAATCTATATTTCACTACAGCTTACTCAATAATATATGACTATGTGCATACACAGGTTTTATTTTGGACTACTTTCAACGTGGCAATGCTTTCACTGCTAATGCATTCTGAAACAAAACTGAAGAACCAAGAAAGAATAAAAGTAAAAGATTTTTAGATTCTAGGGGGATTTTAAATCCTCATGAACAAAGTGAGATTGACTGTAATAAATTTCTAAGCATCTGAAAAGAACAGACACTGGTTGTAAATCTAAATGAATAACAAAGCCCTGCAGCAAAACTGCATCATACTGTATGCGCATGGAGTGAGATCACATGGTGCTTACTGTTGACTGCCACCCATTCATTGAGGTCCTCTCCGTCTGGGAGCATGACAGCCATGCGCAAGTTCCCACTGCCCAGTGTGGCCTCAGCATGCTTCAGTAACTCATACTGGTGCGAACCCTCTGGAATATTCTTCTTGGGCTTGAACGTCTTTGACGAACGGCTTCCACTGTGAGGGTGACGAGAAAAAAGCAGATATCAAAGTGAGAATAACAAGTCAGATTTAGCAGGATACTCTGAATGCCTGTTTTGTTTCTTTTTTTCCCCAGAGTAATGTGCTAATACAAATTAACTCAAGTCCATCCTAACTAAAACATAACCAGCCACAACCTTCTTTCTGACCTTGGACTTAGAAACAACTCCTAACTCCCCTCAGGGCAGCTTTACCTTCAGTCCTCCCAACTGAATGTGGCTGAACAGAACAGCACTGTAACAACATGCTGTACTCAGAGAACTTCTCGAATGCTAAAAAGTATCAACAAGGCAACATGATTTAGCCTCTTCTGCTTCAGGCAAGTGAGTCTGCTAATGCAATAAAATATCACCAAAGGTGGCAAAACACTACCGTGACACTGATTCATAACTTAAAATGGAAAAAAGGGGGCAAAGTGTTAATGTACTCAGTGTTCTCAGAAGATATGCCCTGATCCAATTTTTTGCCCCCTGACAACCTGACTGGTCCTAGTACTTTAGTATCTGGGTGTATTATTGAGTTTCATACAATATTTGTATTTTCATAGGTATTACAGCCACAATATGCACGTAAAATATGCTAGGCTGCAGTAAACCATCATTTAAGTATGTGCATAATGTGACACTTAAGAGTGTGTCTTGTCTAATATTGACAAATTTGATTTGGCTACCGATTACTTTAAAATGGGGCAATGAAATGGCTAATTTTTGATATGTGCACAGTGGTACACAATCTTAATCTAGCTTTTTTCTTATAGTGTCATGAATAGGGTAGGATTTCATATTACTTCAACATGTGCAGAGTAAGATGTGTAAGAAAAGTAAGTAAGAAAGTGTATTTTATGAATGCTTTATGGATAGCCGCACACTGACAACTTCCATGCATTTTATCCTTTGCCAACTGCCTGCTGCTAAGACGCCTGTTGAAACGCAAACATTGCAGATATTACAGGTCCACTGTAAAACAATTTCACACTGCTGACTTCTAAACCACTTTGTTATGTTCTAAAAACGTGCCTCACTGCTGCAGGTTACAGATACTGTCTATTTTTTGCAATAACTCTATAAAGTGTGCAATAAAGAAACAAAAAATCAAAACTAGACTGGGCTTAATGTACCCAATCCAGTAAAATGCCTGGAGTGGCTCCGGACCCGGACATCCCTGGTTCTCAGATGGGCTCTTCTGACATAGCGCTCATTTCGCCCATCTGAAAGGTTTCTTTCACAGAAACTAAAGAAAGCTAACAATGAATACAAGCTAGCATAGACTCAACAACATTAGTTCAATCATTATAACCAACAAGCATTGTCGTGAAGTTCCTTTACGCACCGCAGTTTACAAAATGCATCTTATACCCTAAAGTTGCCCTGTTATCAACTTCAAAAATATAATCCTGTGGTTAGTAAAAACTCTTATTTCTACGAATTTGCGCAGTACGCTAATTGGCTAGTTAGCGAGACGGCCCTCAGTGTTCAAGTCTCGACCCGTTAGTCAGTGGAGCATCTCTTGTTCAAACACACAAGCAAGTAAATCCTCATAAGACACACACAAACCATTAACACAAATATCTTCCTTGGTTAACTCATACTTTACATAGCATGTCACATGTCTCAGCCTAAATAAGTAGGACCCAATAACAGGAAGAAGGGTAAGTGTTGCAAGGGAAAGAAAACTTGAGCAATAATGTCCAAAACACAAATGTCACGAAGAACTAATATTGGACAAAATGGGAATTGAGGCTGAAACGAAAGCAGGCAAATCATTACATCATCAAAGACAGAGCCTGTGATATTACTGCCTGGACTTGACCAATGCTTTACATTTGACCGAATGCTCCTGATATCAGACACCACAGTTCCTGTCTCCTTTTAACTGGGCTTGGCTTTAGAAGGCAAGACCTTTCAGTGGTGGAGTGCAGCTGAATGACTCAGTGTTATTTTTACAGTAGCTTCTAGCTAAGAGTTGGTTTGGGTGTGAAAGCTGACTGACAAGAGCTTAATCCGTTTTCCAGCAAAGGCCAAAACTAGCCACGAAGTTAAGTAAGACACTTGCTCCATCTTACAAAGGCCAGACTATAGGACTGGGTATTAAAGATGTGCAACTCAACTCATTTTGATATTCGATAATCTGCAAGAGTTAATGAACTGATATCTGGTCAACTGCATGTAAGGAAACAAATTAGCAGCAAGAAGAGGAATACATTCGAAACGTTTAGTTATTCACAATCAGGAAATCGGTAGTTTGTGTTGGATAAGTAGCAGAGGCCGCCTTTTTAGATGTGATCCAAAACTACAGCTAACTGGTACACCACTGAATGCGAAAGAGTATTCTTAAATGAGGTATTTTTCTCCTCAGTGGACAATGTGTCAACACGTTAATGTGTAAGAAAAATGTATTTTCATTGTTGCTGGCCATAGCTAACATCAGCTACAGTAGTTAGCCTAGATAGCAATAAAGCCGCCCTACAACGCCATTCTCAGTCATGTCCTTAATAATGAGATAATAATGCACTCGTGCTTCCGCATGGCTCAGGGTAATTTACATACTTACAAATACAAGCAAAACCGTGACACTTTACAGTCCTGCTAAAACATAAAAGTGGTTTCACTGAATTGTAAGTCAGTATATTTTCTCCGCTCGTGCTAAAATGGAATGAATACCCGGATAATGACTATAGTACTTGAATGCTGACATGATGAACGGTTAACCAAATACTTGAGTACCCATGAAAATTCCTACTGGGTATCATTGTTAATGTTTCGATAATGATACCATTACTGATACTTCACTAACGATTACCGATTGATTTTTTTTTTTACAATACCTTCTATTGAACATCAAAATACTGAAGTAAAAAAATATTGGATTGCAGATTTATGACCATGCACAATTTAAAGATGTGCAATTAATAACATGACGTCATGATCGTCCTGTAATTTACCCAATCACCAGTCTAGGTTTTAGAATAAGCATGCTTGTTGGCTTTCTGATGCTGGTAAGACAGACATTTGGTCCTGAATGACATTTTTCCTAAAAGCAGTAAATTTTAAGGAGAAGTAAAACCGATTAGTAGTAACGAAATCCAGTTGCATTCACTTAAATATTGAACTGTGAATCTATATGGCAAAATAAAGCAATTGCTTGTGCTTGCTTCTGAAGTATAAAAATAAAGCCTGTTCCAGAATGACATAGAACTGACAGAACAGAGTTCATGTTCCCTGCAAATATGAAGAAATAAATGGTCTCTGTTCTTTTATTATAGACCTCATGTTGAGGACATTCTCTTATTTCAAGTAACTGTTGCAACAGGGGCCTACGCAGTGTCTTAAAGCGCTGAACTAAAAGTGAGCTTACAGAAACAGGCAGAGATAAACCAATAGAGGAAATTGCCTTTTTAACTGCATACTTTCTTAATACTGAAGAACTGCTCTTGCTCTGCCTTGGAGCTGAGCAAAGACCTGCTCTGATCACTGGTTAGATCCTTCACAGAAGAACCTAAAAACAGCACAGAGCCCTGTTGTACACTACTTAAAAAGCAGATTCAATTTATGTAAAGACTTCATTAGATTATCCTCTCAAAGGACATGCTTTGCGTGGGTACTAGAGTGTTTTGAAACAACCTCTGTTTCATGCTTTAGTTTAGTCTTTCACACAAAAGTGTGTCTTTAAAGGGGTTTAGGAGGGAACAGTAAGCTTGTGAGTCAGAAACCACCAGTCAAAACACTGAAAAGCAAAGCAGAGAGGAACAAACAGTATCTGCTGTTCACTGTTAACATATCATTACTTGCTACCAAGATCTGCTGCTAAGATTTATTAACATATTATTACCTGCTACTTGCCTGTCTTGTTCCTGTTTTTTATGACTAAATAGATCAAAAAATATAGCAACGTGATCATACCCTAAGCTGTTCATTGTCTGTTATTAGAGATGTCACCAATCTGATACAACATATCGGCACCGGGCTATCAGCATGCTGGATCATGATTACAGAAAGGAAAAAAAAAATCCCTGATCCTGCAATTTAATCTGAAACAGCACATACTCACACTGTGAGTTTTAGTAGTTTGAGCATTACAGTTACTTTTAGATGATCACCTTAACTAAAGTGCACAAGTTAAAAGTAGATCATTTTAAAAAGATGGAAAAAGATGGTGCCTTCTCTATCTGTTGTGTTAGTTATGTGCAAGCTCCAGTCAACAGCTGTCAGATAACAGCAAATCTGCTAGAAAAGTAACAAAAATTATTTAAATGGTGTCCATAATTTGAGCCTGACAAACAACTCTATAAAGGCACCAAGTGTCTGTGACTGACACAATACTGAGCTACGTTTATTTACATAATATTCACAAATGCTGGCTAGTTTAAAAGCACCACCTGAATGGGAATAATGCTAACAAATTACTTAAGCAATAGAACGCGAGAGGGAGTGTGTTATTACGAGATAACATCACGGTTGTGATGTTATAGCGATAACACATGGCCTCAAGTGTTCTATTGCTTTTATACAACAGTTAAATAAATGAAGTAAGAAATAAATAATTTAGGCTGTGAACGTGGCATTTAATACGTTTTAATGTTAGTCAAATTAGCCAAATTATAATGTTAGCCAAATTATAGTTCCTTATCAAGCAGCTTTTTGCTGCGTCACAGTAACAAACTCCGTTCACTCGCTGCACAGCTAGCAGTTCGTTCTCCAGCTCCTTATACTAAATTTCGAAACTGTCATTATTACTGGGCAAGCTTTCCAATCAGCAGCTGTGACAGAAGAACACCTAAACAACCTGGAATTAGCCAGAAATGAACTAAATACCATTTGCCGAACGTGTAGTCTCATCTCCAGAGTTTGACCAAATCGGACCGAGCCATAAAACTGCCGCAATATCAAGTTTAGCTCAGATTTGTCAATTTGTGCTAGATCAATATTAACGTTGTTTTGTTCCAGCCAGTCTGTAAAGCATTTTACAGCCCATTTTGTTTGGCGAATGGTATTCAGCTCATTTCTAGCTAATTCCAGGTTGTTTAGGTGTTCTTCTGTCACAGCTGCCGACTGAAATACTTGCTCAGTGGTGATGACAATTTGGGAATTTAGTGTAGTCTCATCTTCAGAGTCTGACAAATCGGCTGCAGGTCAAATGTAATCTTCAAAGTATCCATTTTCTGTTTGTGCGCAAAGTAAGTAAAAATAGAGTAAAAATGTTCAAATGGCTCCTACAGCTGTCAAAGTCGTCGCTTAGCAATGGCGTCTCAGCGGAGTGATACAGTGTTTGTGAAAAAAAGTGTTGTTATGGCAAAATAACAGCACGGTTAGAATGCTTCTCAACCAATCAGCTTGTGTGGCCAGAACTAGCTGTTGTATAATGTTGATTAACTGATCAAAATCTATCATAACTATACTGGTATCTCTGCCACCCAACAGTGTTGACTTTTAGATTTAGCAGTATTGATAGCAAACACAGAGATGATTCTTCAATGGTTCTATTTAGAACCATGAACATTCAAAGAACCATTTGCATGCTTAAATGGTTCTTCTTTGCATTGTGAACTGGATCTTCAGATCGAAGGAGAATGTGTCATATATGATTGTATACAGAAGTTTTAAATGCTTCTAAACATTGTTTACAAGTTTGATATCGTAACAACAGCAGAAGAACCATTTTATCATGTAAAGAACTCTTTATGTACGCAAATGGTTCTGAGTATTCATGGCTCTATATAGAACCATCGTCTTTACTAAAGAATCATTTTTAAGACTGTAGGTAACAGCCATGTGTCATCTGAGATTGTTGTGAAAGAGAAGTTCAAAACACATAAAAAAAGAAATAGTAAGTCATTTCTGGAAGACTGGTTCTGTTATTTCTGTGGGAATGAGCTTTCTGTCTAGTTAACATTTACACTGTTCCCCTTGGTGTCATTTTAAAACTGAAAACCAGAACAAAACAGTCCAATAAAACAGACCGGTGTCAGGTCTCTAAGATACCATTTTAGCACAGAATAACAAAAGGTACTCATTAAGCATGGCTTCTTTGACTTTATTAATGTAAAACTCAAACATCATTATAAGTACAAAAATATGGCAAAACTGAAGTTTAACAAATTCGTTCAGCACCACTTGGTGTTTCAGTATTTTAGCCCGGTACTACATTAGCTTCTTAGCTAACGCAGCTTCATTCACAGAAAGCCTGCGGTCGAGTCTTCGTGGACTGCTAGCATAGCAGAGCTCCAAAGTTCAGATATAAGCTTTTGTTTCGCGTTAACTAGCCAGATAAGCAATTCAAACAATGCATTTCAGAAAGGAAGACGAGAAAAGGAGTTCATTTATCCATATAAGCCCCTCCACACGAAGCACATGGTCTCTATTCAACCGAAGCCAAAAAGCGTTAACGTTACTGCTGCGGTCTGGCCGCTACAGCAGCAGCACGGCGACAGCTAGCTTAGCTGAAAATAAAGATAATAAAAACAAGTCATACTCACAATAAAAAGCTCATATCTAGGGCTGAATGTATCCAGTCGAAGAAACGAAATATCCGTCGTTATAATCAGGAAAGGAGTGAAATATGATATAATTGAGGGGAATGATTCCCAACACGGTCTCTCGTCCAACAGTTTTCCCGACTGAGCAACTAAACTTCTCCTCTACTCCAAGTCCCGAGCGTCTCCCCGTCTCTCGCGAGACTTCGCGGCGAAGAGATTTGTTATTTGGTTTCAGGAAACTAAGTTTTGAGTCATATTCCTATTAATTTTGTTAACAAACTGCCCTCTTTCAGGAGCACGAATTTACAACAACGCCTTTACGTTTTAACAATGAGAATAAATTGGCAATATTCGACTCGCAAACGAAGTCTAAGCCACCACCAGGAGGCGCCATCAGGAGATCACTGTTTAGGCGAGCGTGAAAAAAGCCAAGAACTAAAATTTAGCCAGCATTTTTTTCTAAAATAAAAGTCTCAGTCTAGGGACGTAAAACAACGACGAATCTGCCCGTATATTTAAAGTTAAAGGGCAATTCCATCGATTTTATTTTAGTTTTTTTAACAATAGTTTTGAGAAAAGATTTTAGCCTAAAGCTTATATTGTAAATCCTTTCAGAGGTTTATTTGCGCTGTAGACTTTGCGACCGCTGTTCGGTTTCATCACAAATATAATAAAATTTGAAGTACATTAAATATAATCTTCATATTTAAACTAAACCAGGACAACACTGTCAAGACTTTCTTTTCACAAAAATTATGCATATTAGTAGTACTATAACGAACTGTAAGATTTCTATAGTCGTGCATATTCTTCTTGTAATCTTTAATATCCTCCATATAATTTTCCTATAGAACAATCTTATTAGAATGTATAATACTGTAATACTTGTGCAGTATCCTGTAGTAAACTGTAATAATTGTCTGAATTTACTATACGTTTTTAACTGAATCCTGTAGAAAGTCCTGTTGTAGATAGCATTTTTCATAATTATTTCTTGTTGAATTACACTTACCTACAATACATACTGAGATATCGTGATTAAACAATCGGATTCGAACCAAATGTGGCTATATTTTTAGAAAGCATACCACAATTTTCGGGTATTTATTGAGCAAAAGAAGAACTTTTATTTTGAATCACCGGCTCGTCAGTGCCATTTTCACTGTAAACAGCTTCACTGATCACGCTGTCCTCTGTCACAGTAGGTCAACGTGACTGTTTAGGAACAAGACTATTTATCAGTTTGTCTTTTATTTTATTTATCTCTCTCTCTCTCTGTGTAAAGGTGCAGTGTAGCAGCTGCTAATGGCTGCCTATGGGAGGACAGCGCCTGTCTGGTCTCTGTTGCGCTGCTTGGGAAGGAGACGGTCTCCATGCTTTAAGGAGGCGCTGCAGCAGCAGAGTAACACCGGCAGAGCTGTGTGTTTGGGAGCGAGCTCTGTAAAGTTCACAGCCTGGAGAGAAACACACTCTTGGTCAGCGGAACCTGCGCTCAGGCTTCAGGCCACATTTTCCTGGACATCACTCCGGAGAGCTCTGAGCTCAGAGGTGAGTTTCACCTCATCTTGGTGTTCGTTAGCCGGATGCTAAGATGCTAAAGCCTAACTAATGTAACTACGTCAAAACCGTTATAGGGGATTGCAGGTCTGAAAACACACACCTGAGATTAAACCCAGATGGATTTGCGTTAATGCTCCTAATGGGAACTGGACGAAACGTTCCCATTAAGCATTTTACCAATCAGAATCTAATGATTTTAATGGTTACTATTAGAAAGCAGTTGTTTCATAAGGTTTCAGTGACATCCAGTTGTTCTTTCAATAGCTCTAAAAGGTCTTTGCTAATAGGATCGACTGGTTATTTCCTATTAGAATCTACAGATTCTTCCTCTTTAGGATCTACTGCCTATTCCTCATTGAATTGGTCTGCTTCTTTCTCATAAGAATCTACTGCTTCTTTCCCATTACTTCCCTATTAGAATCTGCTGATTTTTTGCTATTACTGGTTCTGTCCTACCAGAATCTATTGATTCTTTTATATTATTGGTTCTGTCCTATCAGAATATACTGATTCTTTTATATTATTGGTTCTGTCCTATCAGAATATACTGATTCTTTTATATTGCTGGTCCTGTCCTATTAGAATCTACTGATTCTTTTATATTATTGGTTTTGTCCTAATAGAATCTACTGATTCTTTCTCATTGCTGGTCCTGTCCTATCAGAATCTAAGTCTAAAATAATAATTCTGTATAGAACCATGAACACGCAAAGAACCCTGAGTGATTAAAGGGTTCTTTGCATTGTGAAAGCATTTTTCAGACTGATGGAGAATGTGCTGTGTATGATTCTATATAGAACCCTTTTAAAAAGGGTTCTTCTATAGTTCAGATATCAAGCTTGGAGAACCATATACAGCACATTCTTCATCAATCTGAGGAACCCTTGTACCCTTTTATTACGAAGCAAAGAACCCTTTAATCATGCATATATGACCTTTTATTACTAAAGAACCCTTGAAAAATAATCATTTTTAATTGTGTAGATTATATTGGTTCTTTTCCAACACTGCTTGTGCCCCAGTAGAATCTACTAACTTCAGTTGCTATGCTGATTGATGCTGGCTGTTACAAGAAATTCCACTGTGGTTTAATGGGCAGCTCAGTACCTGCAAAGTGTTTGACACCAACCTATTTACTCAAGTTGTTTTTTACTGTGCTATTTTAACATGTACATAAATAATTATTACTTGAAGTAACAAGGCTTTTACTGGAAGATGGTTTTAGGCTGCTCTCCACATCTGTCTTTTTTAGCATTTTTCCAAGGTTGAAGGGAGCAGTGTTATTTAGGCAATGAAATTGAAGCAGAAATTTAACCTGTAGCTCATCTGTCTACCACAACACCTTAGCATCAAATCTTATTGTAATATTTATTCATTTGTCTTAGGCACCATACAAAGAAGACGAGTACCCACCTCTTCCTGAGTACACTCCCACTCAGGAGACTGACACAAAAGAAGTCTTCATCATTCGTGTCAAAGGTCTGCCGTGGTCATGTAGTGCCGAGGACCTGGTGAAGTTTTTCTCTGGTACGTTTAAAACTAATCTAATGACTGTCAGCCAAGCTGGAATGCCGCATATGTCATCATTCTCAAGTAGTTTAACCATTTTGATTTGGCTTTTATTTAAGGATTAATTGAATAGATTTTTTTTTAAAGACTGTCACAATAACGAAAAGATCCTGTTCACGTAGAGTGTCAGATTCGTGGTGGTGTAAACGGAATCCATCTAATGCACAAAAACGGAAAGCCGAATGGAGAAGCATTCATTGAGCTGGAGCATGAGAAGGACATCAGTAAAGCCTTGGAGATGCATAGGCAGTACCTTGGGCCCCGCTATGTAGAAGGCAAGTGCATCTAATGTGACTTTTGTTTTGTAAGCACAATGCAAAAGTCTGAGAAGAATATCCAGTGTCACCTTTTACTGTAAAACAGTTTGAGTTGTTACATGTTTAGTCATATGAAATTGCATGTTTTGTTGCCATTCTTAATGAAAATAATCTTCTCCAGAGAACACACTTCTGCACATTTAATGCACAAATGTTTGCTTAATTTAACATGTTGGAAAAAAAATGTGGTCTATGCAAAAGTTAGGGCACATTTCATATTTTATTTTTTCCAATATGTTAAACTTAGCAAGTAAATAGAAGTTGTACACTAAAATGAGCAAAAAAATGCCAAATGCCGAGTGTGTTCTCTATAGACAATGTTACCTTTTTTCATTTACAAAACCAATAAAACATAATTTGGCTGGGGTTATTCAAACTTTTGCATACAACTGTTTAAAAAGTGCTCTATAAATAAAGATGTCAGTGTAATTAGTATTACAATTACAGTTCAAATCCATGGATTTCATTTGACTACTGCTGTCAAAAGAACAGTATGAATATGCAGACATTCAGTGAGTGATCTAAGCTTCTTTCACACTCAAAACCCAGGACATTATCAGCATTCATTACTGGTTTTGTTTGGGCTTTGCATCATTCACATATGCAGCCCTTAAACAGTATTTTACCGGGATGCAGTGAAATCCTGGTAAACTGGAGGTGAGATTTTCAGCATGAATGCTAAACAGCTCCTTCATTCCTGAATCATGTACAAAAATACTCTCCCAGGATTTTTTTCTCTCATAAAAACTGAAAACTAGACCGTAAAAAGTATAAGTGTTCTGTTTTCCTGGCGATGCTGCATCGCTTTTACACAAAAGCAGCCATGCATGCTCAGGGTGGATTTTGTCTCGAGAATCGTGTGTAGAATACCCTCCTGAGGTGTTTTTACTACATTGCTGTATTTTGTGCCTCTTTACATTTTCTTAGAGCAGTGGTCCTGATCCTTGGTCCTGCACAGGGGGTTACAGTCCTGTTTGGTGTTTTCCTGCTGCTACTACACCAGAATCATCTAAAATGCTGGTTAAGAAGCCCTTTCTGCGTTGAAATGGGAATGTTCATTAAAGAAAAACACTAAAATGTGCAGGACTGGAGCAGTCCACAACCAGCCAAATCTTGTTTAGTGTCTGAGGTTTGCTTCTTTGGTTTTGCAAAGCAGCTATGAAGCTAATGTACTGTCATCTATAGGCTTGAGCTATAGCATAGCTAAAGCTACTTCGAAACCTAAATATTGTCTGTACTCCATTTTTATTAAAAACAAAATGCCACGCAGTGTCAAAAAACACATACCAATTTATTATGGTTTAAGGCAAACGTATGATGATTCAGGCATGCAGTTCCCAGGATGCTAAGTGGTGGGCTGTTACTTGTTAGCTACATTTGCATCATAGCTCCAGTGCAAAACCAAATTTCAGACACCAAGCATGTCTTGATGGATGGTGTGAATACGATTTACTGCTTTTAATCCTTTTAAAATTATGGCCTGATATTCTTGGTTGCAGTGTATGAGGTAACAAACAGCGATGCAGAGGCTCTTATAAGGGGAACAGATGAAAGTCCCAGTACAGACGGTGTGATTCGTCTCCGAGGTCTTCCATTCAACTGCACAGAAAAGGATGTTATTCAGTTCTTTTCAGGTGAGAACTTCACACAGCCAAACTCTTCAAACCAACTATTCTCATTATAACGTGATTCAGGCAGAAATACACTGCACAGTTTTAGCCTGTTTTTAAGCCTGTTTTGGTCGGAGCTGATTGAATTTCATGATCAGGGCTAAATATTAGCTTCATTGGCTGTCATTTGCCATGCAGAGTGAGAAGGGAAGCGATGCCCAATTAACTGCCCAAACCAGCTCTGATTGAGCAGTCGGACGATTGGATGGACTTCTGACATGTCAGAAATGTTTGTTTGTCTCACACTTTTAGCAGTTGCATGAACCGATTTCTCAAAGTCGCACCTAAAACCACACACAATCACAGCCACTGCTCCTACACAGGTGAACACACATAAATGGAAGCAAAAAAGTCAATATTTGTGGTACCTACATCCTTATTTGCTGACTTTGCATATGTCTTTGTTATACTGTCTGTGGGCCGCCTGGTTTTTGGTTTTAGTGCACAGTGTAGTACAAGTTAGCAAAGCTATTATAGCACACTTCATTAATGGGTGAATCTCAAACGGCCCCCTCCTTCTTATGTAGTGCACTATGGAAGTTCTCGCTTCTACACCAAAATAGTGCACTATTTGTCCAGTGCACACATGGCTGAATCCCAAATGGCCATTTATTAGACATATGATGAATTATTTGGGTGCAAGAGTCACTATTTTAATTCCTTCTTGGTGTGTTATGTAGGGAGCAGGGATTCATTTGAGATTCAGCCAATGTTTTTTGCTCAGGACTCGGACACACAGCATATTGTTGTGAATGAAACAACTTTACTGGAAATTATCTGTAGACAGAGCTGTCTGTAGGGGCTGTGTTTCACATGCAGAGTGAGCACCCATGCCACGTAATGTCAGTCGGATGGAACGTTTCACAGTTTGAGCCTATAAATTGCAGGCCTTGGCTGTACACGATGGGCGATTCAAACGTACAGTGTATTGTCACCAAAGAACAAGAGTTCTAAAATCACACAGTGTATTCTTGGCTTTACATTTACTAATGTTTTCAGGACTGGACATTGTGATGAACGGGGTCACGTTGGTCTTGGATCACCGAGGCCGAAGTTCGGGCGATGCATATGTGCAGTTTGCCACCCAGGAGATGGCAGATCAAGCCCTACAGAAGGACAGAGAGGTCATTGGAAACAGGTCAGGCCATCACACTTCCTTCAGTGGATTTACTCGACTCTACAGAGATAACAGGATGTTTTTGTTCTCCCACCACCTGCTGCTGTTTGAACACAGAACAAAAACAGTCAGTGTTGAGTCAAAGTAAGGCTGGGTGGGTATAATGTTACTTTAAAACAAAACAAAATTTAGTATTACATTGCCACCCATATGAAGCTACTGAGTGCTAATAGCTCCTCCTGTGGAGAATATTTAGCCTGCTAAACGAGAGTGAGTAAATAAAAGGCCAGAACAATGAGTTGTTTCACAATGGGAAATTAAAAAAATAGCAGAGGAGCTTTGTAATTCAGCTATGAAAAGCTGTGGATGACCATTAAGTATTATCTTTTAATAATTGTACAACTAATTTAAACCACTTAATCTGTATGGAAAATGCTTAGAATTTCTCCCAGACAGTTGCTGAACTTTTCTATAGTATGTGTTACTAGTGTCCTGTTACAATCTATCGTTTTGACGGTAACAGTCAATAACAGCAAAAGAGAATGCTATATTACATTATGATATTATTTAATATTATTTGGCAAGCTGTTCAAAATTGAATCAGGCCTATCTAGTTCTCCATTAATTGTCAAGGATACTATGAAGCATCAGTGTCGTTACCCGTCAGTTACTGCCTACATCCAACTGCATTGCCCATCACCCAGCAGTAATTCAAATCCAAACCCAATTTACTGATTAGTTACAGACCAGTGAAATTACTCATATATGATTTATATATAATAAGATTCAAAATTTTGTTCTCCTGAACATGCAGGTACATCGAGGTGTTCCCCAGCAAGAAGAGTGAGATTCGGACCCAGTACGGCAAAGGGAGAAGAGAAGCTTCAGGCACTGAATTCCGCACACAAAAGAGTGAGTTGAAGTCATTTAATAGTCGCGTCCAGATAAGGTTTTGATACTGAATGTAATATTTGTATTTTAACCCTTTCCTTCCCTTTTACAGTGAACAGTGTCTCTCTGCCTATACACTATATACACATGAGAGGTCTGCCATATCAAGTCACAGCAGGAGACGTAATAAATGTAAGACTTATTTTAAAGCTTTGAATTATTTTCCCTTTTTTAACTGGATACATGCAACATGAATGTTTACCCAAAAGTGACTATTTTACTGTAGCCTATATTTAAATTCTTGTAAAATATACATGTTGGACATTTTCTGTATACAGCAATAACTGAAGCAGCGCAGACTGAAATATTTCATATTATTTATTATAGTTTTAAATGTTTAATATTTTATGTATTTTGAGCACAAACCTTAAATGATGAATAGTAATTATCAGTACATATTATATAATATATGTATTATATAATATACAGTAATTATCTACTCATACTAGTAATTTTGGGCCAGTTAGTCTGCCCTGAGATTTGGCACCACTTTAAATTCTGATGCATTCTGCCATTATGTTTATTATAACTCTATAATTCTAGATTGGCTTCCTCAGTCCTTTTAGAACATCTACATTTATTTATTTCTTTATTTTACATTTTCCTACTTTAAAAGCTATTAAGCTGCACAGTACTAACATAACATTAGAATCAGTTTATACATATATCTGCACCAAATGTTTTTTGTTATTGGAAACATTATTTTACAGACTTTTGAGTGCTAGTTCGAAGATGAAATGATTGCTGTTTACAGTAATATAAGCAAATATTTTTGGTTTGTCTCAGTTCTTCTCCCCTATCAGGGTGGCGAAGGTTCTAATAGAGTACAGCGCAGATGGGCGACCCAGTGGTGAGGCCGAGGCTCACTTCACTTCACACCAGGATGCAGTGGCAGCAATGTCCAAAGACAAAGAATGTATACGTAAGTTGTGTGTTGTGTGTATAATGAACCTGCACATGTTAAATTGTTAAAAATAAATGGAAACGGGTATTCATTAGTTAGGATTACATTTGAAACTTGCCAATTGGTGGGAACTAGATCCCATTCATTGCTAGCAACGGTAGGGCTGGGTTAGCATTTCTGACTGAACTAAGTTACTCGTAATGTAGCAGTAAAGTGTGGTATGAAGACATGAGTCTTTTGACATCCACCTGTGGACACAACTGGACTTCAGTTTATCAAGAGAACTGAATCACATTTTTTCCTTTTTAATACAGAGGACAGATATATAGAGTTGTTCCTGAATTCAGCATCGAATGGGGAGAGGCACTGAAAAGGTGAGCTCCATTTTTCCAGTTGTTTTTGATAAGATTAATCATAGCCCAGCAAATGTTTTTACAGATTACTTACCAGTTTTTTTTTCTTTTTACAGGTGTATAGCTGTGAAAATGTACAAAGCATCTGCAGTATTTATATAAATCAAAATGTTAAATAATTGCCATTAAAACTGCTCTCAAATGGAGCACATTCCTTTTATTTTGTATACTGTCTTTTAAGACTGATGTTCACAACTGCTTATGACCCCCATTAGAATAAAAGCAATATGAAACAAGAATTTCCAGAGGACACATTGTCATTAGTTGGATTATTTGGAATGGATTACTCAATTCATCAGTGATGGCAGCTTGTAACGAATGAAACAGACATACCTGTTTGTTACTTTGTACTGTGAATATTCAACACATATTGGAAACTGTTCACAGTGTAAGAGGTTTGTGCAAATAAGCTAATCCATTTAAAGTGAATCTTTATTGAGGAGCTATAATACCCAAGTAAGTACATTAAAGTTTAGCAAACCAAATTACATTCTTTCAGCATGATAGATCATTATAATTGTGGTCTCAGCTCCCACGGTTGATAAATATGTAGAGATGATTCAGCACAAAAAAGTTTTTACTTTAAAAAGTTATAATAAAAAGAAACCAACAAATGTGATGCACTTGAAAATGGCATGTAAACTCTAATGCTTTGGCTCAATAAAATGTCAGCTATGATTATGTTCACCAAGTAACTGAGTAAGGCAGCTCCACACTGTTAAAACCCTAGTGCATGGTGCCAGCTCAATGGCATAATTGCAATGTGTTCAAATTGCACTGTTTAAAATACAGTTTAAAAATCATCGGAAGTATTAAATATTATCTTTCATCCTGGACAGTAGCCAGAAAGTAACTGTCTTGGTGTCAGCGAATGATTGTAGTCATCTCTTAATGAAAACCATATGAATCAGAAACAGAAAAAGAAAAAAAAAATACACAATTCAAGTAGTACAAGTCCACTCAGTGGACAACATCACTCATCTCCTAACTGATACTGAATTTAAGCAAGATAGAAGACTCAGTTAAGTCACACAAAGCCCTTAAAACTATCCCTTTTCAGCAAGCATCACAAAGAAGAAGCCACTTGTGCGGCCGTTACTGGTTAAAGGTTCAAAATATGATATTGAAGTCTGGGGTCTTCCAGTTATTAATAACCTTTACTGATATAAATGTCCATAGGCAGGTGACTCAGGAAGGAGTTGAGGGGGTTGAGGCGTACTGCTGCAGTAAGGTGGAGTAGCATGTGTTACACACATGTTCTGGGTTGATGGAAGAGGGCAGGGGGAGCTCATTGGCGATACAGCTTTCACAGAACACTCCTCTGCAGTTCTTGCACTCGCGCTGGAATGGCAGAGCAAGACAAGATCCACATAACCATTCACTGCATTAGAAGGAGAAATGTACTCGTCAGATGCATGTAGTGAGCCCTGCCTAAACAAATGGGGGGACGATGAATTACACAGTAACTTTTATGAAACTACTAAAAGGTAAAAGTATGTAGTTATGAGCATAAAAAAGGAACGTCTCGATCCATAAGCAGGCCTATAGAGTTTAAAGTGTTATCCATACACGTTTTTGTCTAAATAAAGCCACAGTCATACTGAACGTGAGTAAAATTTGTCTGGTGAAAAAGCCAATTCACCTGGAAGTGGAAACATGCTCCCAGTAGTGGAAGCAGTTCATCAAGATGAACTTTCAACCTGGGAATTTGCAAACCTCAGAAGGATGAGCCAATAGAAAACAAGAGGTTGAGCTGTGCTGTCTTTCTGAATATAAAATATAAAAAGAAACTGCCCCTAGTCAACATGATGTTTCCTGTCTGCCACAGTTTTAAAAAAAAAAGAGTTAACTAGCTAACATCAACATTGCATCAACATGCATTTTGGGTGATCAGATACGGTTCAGATTTCACTTGACCACATGAAAACACAGGTGCAGATACCCCCTTGGGGGGAGGGAGAGAGTGAACAATAGTAAAATAAAACAACACACATTTTGATGTGCCCTGGCAAAGAAAATAGGCAACAGCTGGGTATGACTAAGGCTTAAGAATTAAATCTATTCTTGGCCAAAGGAGCAAAAAGGTGGTCTGAAATTTAACACCCAGATGAACAAGAAAAATCAAACCCTTACAGGACAAATGTGACCAATGCAGTAAATAATGTGGAGCTTCCGTCTTTCCCTTTGAGTCACTCAAAGTAACTGTTTATATTGTTCATATTAAAGTAATTTGTGACTTTTTCTGTATAGAATTTCTTTTTGGGACCTCCCTGAATCCAAATAACTCGTACCTTAGTCCTGGTTAGAGATTCTGGACATTCGCACATTTGGCAGACAGAAGGCTCCGGCTCGTGAGACCGATCCTATTAAACAGAAAATATTGTGAATTCTTACTACATACAGGAACATTCAGTATGCTGATTTTCTGATTACGTACTGATAGTGTTTTGTTATATGCATACAGTACACGTTTTAAATGTATTAAAATAGAACAAAAAGGTCAAGCTGGGTGAGGTCTTTAGACAAGCAGGGACTTTACCCCACCAGCACAACATGTATTAAAGGGTGTAGTGCACTTTGTTTCTTTTATGTGCTAATAAATGTGACGTACTTGCTCTTCTTCATGTGAAAGTGACCTAGAAAAAGAAAGATAAAGTGTTCATTGCCCTTTGTGTAGCTTCAGACACGTCGTTCAGATGATCTGCAGTCTTTAAATATGTATTGTTCTGTTTTGAATAACAGCAAAGATGTAACTTACAAACTTGAGCTCAGACTCGTTTTCTCTTCCAGCACATTTCGGAGTGTGTCGTTCTCTTTTTTGACTGCTTCCAGTTCCTGCATGGAAAACATGACTTCACTAAAAGAGCAACACGTCATCCTTAATGGCTGTCTAATGTCTCAATAAGCATCAGTGAAAGTCTAAATCCGGATGCAAAAAGAAGTGGATACTTTTTTGATCTCCTCCACTTGCTGCCTCACGTCTCTCTGTGGGGGTGTTCTCCCCAGCACAGCGTCAGATTGCTGGCCTCCTCGCCGCTCCCTCTCCTTCCTCAGCTCCTGCTCCAAACTGGTCCTGTCCCCAAAATACACACACTATTCAGTATCTTTAATTCTGTGATTCAGACGTGCATAACAAACACAAGATGAGTTTTATCTTGTGTAGGGCTGAACGATTTGGGGGGCAATACCTAACAGCGATTTTTCTGACTAAGATTACGATGCTGTTCTGTACACTACATAATATGCTCATCATTCTGTCACATTCCGTCGCATTAACAGCATTGCAAACTCACTAGTAACCTGAACATCATAACAGTACGTGGTTCATTGCACGTGGCGTAGAATTTTCCTTCTTTTTCCTTCGCTATCGCCTTGTCCCTTGAGGGCTGTGTCCGTCAATAATGCAAATGGACCTGTCAGTTGGTCGTGGATTTCAAATACATTTTTGAAATAAATTTTCTTCGTAGGCTACTCTCATAAACTAAGATTACGTTCACATTACCAAGTTAAAGTGGCATAAATCCACAGATCAGTTCCAACAGAGCCGTGTGGACACACAAATCCGATCTTTTCAAATCCAACCTGAACCACATAGATTATCAATTCATGAAAAAAATATTTATTAGCCTGCTATAGCTGTAATCAGTCTTTTAACTCACCAGGAACACCAACAATGTCAGAGACTTTCTGTTACAGGGTATTTCTTTTACTTTTGTCTTTGTTTTAGTTTTAGATTGGACAAAATGGGGAACCTGGACACAGCTGTTATTAACTTTTCGTCCGTGTTGTTCAGATTGAACTATGTAGCAACATCCTCCTTGTGGACGGACAATGGACAGTTGCTTCTGCCTGATTGGTCAGCTCTTTAAGGCTGCTGTGTGTGATTTGCATTAAGTTAAAATCAAATCAACACTTTGCACCACTCGCTGTCCCACAGTTACAGATTTTTTCACTCCTTCCCGTTGAAAATGAATGGAAGTGAAATTTCTAATGATGAACACGCGTGGACAGTGGACATGTACCACAGGAGTCTGAAAATGTACAAAAGAGTGACTTTACTTACTCAAATACTTCTGCTGTGAATAATTTGGAGAAGGGCAGCTGAGCACAGAAAAGGGTTGAAATGTGTTCTATGTTATGACTATTCTGTACCTGCTACAGTACATCTTCTGGGTACTACCTATTGTGGTGCAATGTGAGATTTCAGAAGTGCACTGGATAGACTAGGGACTTTTAAAATAATGCACTTTGTAAAGAATAGGAGGCACATTTCTGCTGCTCCCTAGTGGCCATAAATGTTAACTGTACCATGACAGCATTCTGAAGAAAAAAAGAAAGTAGTCCTGAAAGCTATTTATTCAAAATAAACTATCAGCACAATTAGCATTAGGTCAAGATTATCAAACCAAAAGTCAATGAAACAAAACAAACAAACAAATAAATAAATAAATGGCGGTCATGTCCCTGAGCTGATATTTAGGTGCTGGAACACTAAATACCTCTGCTTTCGTAACTGCTCCACCTGTTGCTGCAGACTCTCAATCTTGTCCCCAAACTCCTGCTTGAAGAGCCTGTTAGCCTCCTCGGCCAGGTCCCTCTGCTTCTCCGCCTGCTTAGATCTGGAGTTGAGCCAGATGAACTTAATGAGGTAAAAAATGAAAAAACTAAAAAGCAAATGGTAGGGAGGAGAATCAATAATGTAAAGATCAAAGTAAAAAACTGAGAGAACTAAATAGTAAAACAAAACTGAATAGTAAAAAAGTAAATACAAAAAAAGTCTTCAAGTAGAGAGATGGAAAATGGCCAATGCAGAAGCTACATGGATGCTAAAGAAAGCAAGGAAGTCCAGGTGCTTGTTTTTTTGTTGTTTTATTATGCTACTGTACTACAGTTTACATCTATTGTTAAAGTCCACATACACTTTTCATCATTCCATTGCAATTTAGAGGATAACCTCCTCCATCCAAACCTTAAAAGAATTTATTTTTGGGCTTTCACAAGACTGTGGCTTTCACATTTGGCATCGACTACCACCTCACGCTTCTCAGCAGCCATTTCAGACCTCAGTTTAAATTGCGCTTTAATGTAATTCAGGCACATGATCTTTCACCAAACAGAAAACTGCAACCAAAACCTCCTGAGTATACGCTTTCGATTTAGAGTCAGTTGCATAATATCTTAAACGGGAGTCTATTTAAGCACACTCATCACATTGGATGGCCTTGAGCTTGTGTCAGGGCTTATGCAGGTCCATTTCACTTAGGATGCTTGGTACAATTTACAGTATTGAAAAGTTTTTAACTCAAAGCATGATTTCGAAGCATAATTTTGGCAAAAGAACATTTTTCATTTCATACCATCCTGCACATGTTGGGATTTTTTATTTTTGCTTAACTGGCATCATTTCTGAATTACATGTATTTCTGTATGTTGAACTGAGCTATGCTTTCCATGGCCAAAGGCTTTGCACAGTAACAATCTTTTATAACATCCTGCCAATTGGTCTGTCAAAGAGTATGAAGATACATTAGAGATACAAGAGATATGCACTGCTTTGTTACCATTGCCTATATATAAACTGCTGGCCCAAAGCTTTCCAAAACCAACACAAAAGCCAAAAGTCAATGCAGATCTTGAGCCTTTCTCACACTTTCTGAAACGGCTGCATTTTGTACCTTGTAAAACACGAAGATGGAGAGACTAGAGAGAGGAGAGCTGGTTTAGAGTATGCTATTCAAAGTATAGGCAAAAAAATGGTAGTCCATGTGAGAAAGGAACTGCGACAGATCTGAAACCCAATATAAAATAAATACCCTAACTGTTTCTATAATATGCAAAGTCAAATTTAGGATCTGTATTGATGAAACTATTATTTGTTGTTTGCAAACGATTTATTGTTGCTTTTGCAGCAGTTTTCCTGCGGCTGAATTCAAGTTTCGTGCTTGTTTGATCACGTCTTTCTCGCTGGCCAAAGTAATGGAGAGGAGGAGAAAGGAAGATGTGGAAGGGATGCAAAATGAAAAGACAGAAGAAAATAACAAGAAACAGGCAGTAGAGAGGAGTTATTTTGGGAAAGAACCGTAGCACTTGCAGAGTGAAAGAGTAAAGGATAATCAAGAACTCGAAAAAGCCAAGAGGAGATTAGTCCTCCAATAACATCTGTATTGAGGCTGAATTAGTATTGCAGCATCTTTAAAATATAAAAATAATTTGAAAACAAAAAGTCTGGATAATTAAGTCATTGAGATGTAAACAAAGTCATTCAGAGTGATTTGACATGAAACGCTCTGTTCTAGAGAAATTTACTGATTCAGAATTGTTCACAGTGGTGGCGATCCATATGTCCAATAAGTTTAATGCCTATAAAACTCCACCACAGAAAACTATTACATAAGGCAGGCACAAATGCCTTGCCTGATGCCTGGGGGGGATTGATTTAGGGTAGTTTTGGCTTTTTATATCCATTTATCATTTATGGAGAAGCACATGCAGGGCTTTGTGAGACCAAAACATTTTTCCCCCAGATTTACCACTATTTATCAGTATCAACACATACATATAAACATATACATACAAAAATTCTGAAGACAAGTGCAGGTTCACTTGTCATTTTAGATGATAAACAAAATGGCTATGTTTGTGTTGTAAACATCACAACCCCTGGCTCCTATCACCACCACTGCAAAGAAATCTGAGTCAGTGAGTTTCTCTACAGTAAACCATTTCACATCAAACCATTCTGACTGTCCTTTAATCAAAATGTGTACAATGGCTGTGCTCAGAATAACTCTCTCAACGATGACAGTATGTGTGTTTGTTAGTTCATGCAGCGTTAACGCATGTGAGTCATTACCTGTTCTCCAGTTGTTTGATAGTGGCTGCCATCTGATTAGTTTTGTCTTCCAAGCGAATGATGATTTCATTCTTCTGTTTCACACTGGCCTCTGAGCTCTGTAGATAATGCACATACACGCAGAGAACCCATTTAGCAAACACCACTCTGGTGTGGTAAGGATCTTAACAGGCATGGCATAAATTGTGGTAATACGATCTAACAGTACGCATCCACTAGCCGTGCAGCATCCTATTAATTTCAGTGGAGAGCTCAGTAAATTTCTACTTTATCCAAATGAGTCCAGTCACGCACTGCGCTTAGCCAATCCAGCACAAGTAAACTGTCTCGCAGTGCAAAGAGTGGAAACAATGACAATCTTTCTTTTTTGAAGTTTAGCAAAATATTAAAATATCTATTTTTAAACATAACTCCTAATTATGAGAAACATAGGTCTACATTTTATTGTCATTGTAAGGTTGGTTCCTACGGTTCCTGCCTTTTTCTTAATTCACCCAATAAAAACAGCACAGAAATGCCTAACCGTGGTAAGCTGAGAGATCTGGGGGCTGTGGAATGCGCTCACAAAAAGTACAAGTGGACACATGCCATCAAATGCACATATTGCTGTAATCAACCTTTATTACCTGTGACTTGTGGGAGAGCTCATGGTTAAGTCTGCGCAGATCATCTAGCTGCTGTCTGAGCTCCACCAGCGCGTCATGTTTCTCACAGATGTCCTTCTCCAGCATCTTCATGGACAGCTCCATCTCCTGTCTCATCCCTATCTGCACTTCCAGCTCTTTCTCCACATCCTACAAATAATCAAATGCTATTTAGTGCGAGTGCATAGTTTTCTTCTCAACTCAACACCATCAACAACTGCTCAAATGTAAACCTCTTAAATGTTTCTCAAAACTGAAATTCACACTTTTTCCCCCTCATACCAAATGTAGTTGATCAGCAAAAATCAGCATTTGTTTTTTTTAATTTTGTACTGGAGCTACAAGACTAATGTATACATCACTATATACATCACTAATTAGCATCATGCAAACTGAATGACAGTCACACACTTCCCCCAAAGCATGTTCGTTGTTAAGTAATCTCAAATTTGAAGTAAATTTGATTTTTCACCAAATTATTAAAGTACAAACTGGATAAAAAAAAAGACATACTTCCCCCCACAACCCATCTCTGCAACACATAGACACACTCATATGAGACTGACCAGTCGGAGCTGGGTCTCCTCTTTGAGCTGTTTTCGAGTCTCTCCAAGTACTTGGCCGTCTGCAGTTCCTTCTGGTCTTGATGCCTTGAAAAAACAAACAGAAATCCCCTCAGTCATGCAGCTGGATATTTAAATCTTCGAAATCCCCCATTTAATAAAACTGTGTAAAGTCAGTTAAAGTTAGACTGTTCTGTTACTTTTGGCATGCAAAATCTGTACATGTGCTAAGGAATATACAGACAGGAACACTGTCTCCACTGTATGTGCATGTGTGCATGAGCGTGCGTGCAAAAACCCGCCACGTAACAAATATGAAGTAAAAGCTAGTGTACCTTGCGACTAGACTCCACAAGGTAAGAGCTCTCTTCTTTCACCCTCTCCACCTCCTCTTGTAAAGTGATGATTCTGTTGTTCGCAACTGCAAGCTGTGACATGAGACCAGAGATGTAGTTGGTGGCAACACCACAATACATGCCAATCTCTGTTCACATCAAAATGGCATAAGACAAAGTCTCAGAATAAAATAGATTTACAGCTGAGGAGACTAAACTTCCTCCTGTCACCTTACTCTAAAGTTACCATTTTGGAGATTTTCTTTGGACAGCAACGATATACATTTATATTTAAAACTACATTATTACCTCCTCTGTTAGTTTTGTGTTTGATTTCTCAAGTGCATCCACTTTGGCTTGTAGGTTATTAACAGAAGCACTGTGAAAGGGGAAGAATGTGTGGCATGAGATTAATCATCATCTTCATGTAAGCCAGAAATCAGGAACACACAACAGGAAGCAGTCATATCTGGAGAAACGACTGTACCTTAAATGTCTGTTTAGTTCCTCAACGTAATTTTTCTGGTCAAGGATAGCAGTGATTTGTCCATCACTGGGGAAAATCACAAAAAAGTTAAGAACTGCTCAGAACCTCATGAATAGTGGCAAAACTATGGCCAAAATAAAAATGTCTCTCTTTAAAATGACATAGTAGTTCATATTAATGTCATGTAAAACATGTACACTTTATAAATGTTGATTTAAATGTTCATGAACATGTTATGAAGCGTTTATATAAGATGTTATGAATGTGCTATGTAGACACCCTTCAAGAACTTGGTAAAGGAAAATTACAAGGTACAATGAATATCAACTCACCCCTCTGTGCTTTTGCTGCTGTGCCCTCCATCTTTGAGATACATAGAAAAATCTATCACCCCAACCTGCAGAAATGCCACAGAACAGGGGATGTAAATGATTACTGGTTAACCATCAACTGACACCTATGTTCAAACCATGCTATTGGTTAAAAACACATTAATACCCTTTATTTCAAATAGACAACAGTTCAGATCTGAACAACTGAGCTTATCATTCAACCTGAGGAACATTTTTGAACTGTACATAAGAAGGTGCAAATGGCAACTAGCTCCATGAGACAGGACTACTAAAATCACGCAGCTAAAAACAGGTGCTCAGGTGCTTGTGTATTGTATATTCCAGTAATTTCTTCAACGTTTTGGTATTTGGTCATATCGTCATGAGCATATTATAGTTGTCAGCTCTTGGTTCAAACAAAACCAAATTCTTATGTAAGGTATGTATAGTGCAGTTTGGCCCCCACTTATCAGTACTATGTTCCATGGTCTATAGAAGGAACTATATTTTGGAGCACTAATACAGAATTCAGTTCATGTATGCGTTCTTAAGTGTGTGTATATCAGGTGTTCTATAATGGCATTAAACGTTTCTGTTTTAGGACTGGTATTTTGATGGCTTGGTTACCGAATCACCAACTAAACACACTCAGTTATTGGTTATCTCCAAATTGTTGTCATGGCCAATTTAGTCTTGCTCGCCGGACATCTGTCTATTGGATGAGAGTATGCTGCTTTTCACCGGGTAACATGGCAAAGAATGGCTTATCTTGTCAGGAAGAGGCTGTTTGACCAATCAGGCGACTGTGAAAATCCTAACAATACACCCCGACTGGTAATTTCATTAGGAACACCTTCTTGTACCCTGTGTCCATTTTACAAGCTTACTATACAGACTGTAGTTCATCTGTTTCTCTGCATTCTTTGTTAGTCCCACTTCATCCTGTTCTTCAATTGTCAGGACTCCCACAGGACCACCACAGAGCAGGTATTATTTGGGTGGTGGATTATTCTCACCAGTCCCTGTAAAATTCCCTGTAGTTACTGAATAATAAGTATTTGTTTGAAATAAACCTGGAATGCTAAGGGGTTAAACACCTCAATGTAACTGCTGGACTGAGAATAGTCCACCAATCAAAAACATCAAGCTAACAGCATCCTGTGGGCAGCATTCTGTGACCACAGATGAAGGACTAGAAAATGACAAACACAAACTGTGCAGCAACAGATGAGCTATCGTCTCTGACTTTACATCTACAAGGTGGACCAAAAAGGCAGTTATATCTAATAGAGTGGACACTGAGTCGACAATGTTCGAAAAAAACTCCAGCAGCACTGCTGTATCTGATCCACTCATACCAGCGCAACCAACACACCACCACCACAGCAGTGTCACCGCAGTGCTCAGAATGATGCACCACCAATATAATACCTGCTCTGTGGTGGTCCTGGTGGTTCTTGACCACTGAAGAACAGGGTGAAAGGGGGCTAAAAAAAATTATGCAAAAAATATATCTGTAATTGTAGAACTACAAAGTGTACCTACCAGGTAAATGACCGGATAAAATGGACAATGAGTGTAGATACAAGGAGATGTACTTAATGAGGTGGCTGGTCTGTGTATATCTTGCTCTAAAAAGCTAGTTTTACTATAAGAATGTCCTGTGCAGCAAGCTGTTTCCTATTCCTTACTAGAATTTAGTATCCAAATGCCACGGAAGTGCACAGACATGGACACGTGGATAGCCAATCACAATGCATCTGAGGTCGGCTTTGTGTGCAAAAGATATCAGTTGCTTCATTTCCGAGAGGTAAGGCGACTGAGGCTAAGAGTATGTGCAAATAAACAGTAGAGTTTAACAAGTTACTTCATCTAATCAGTAACAATCTTTTAAAATAAACGTATTACTGTACCTGAGAGTCCAGGTCTTCTCCTTTCATACACAAGTTTGCATCAATGACATTCAGCCCCACCAACAGTCCTGCAATTACTGCTCCTTCTTCTTCCATCATCAAAGCATTGGGCTCATAGAACTCACTAAAGGAAAGACCAAAAGCAGCATGTCTAGGACCTCCTTTAGAAGAGCAAAAAAACTGTTAAAATAACAGCATCTTATCATTTGTTCCTTTGGACCAACCTTAAAAGGTCCTTTCTGTTGATGATGGTCTTCATGTAGTCCGAGAGCTTCTTCTGCATTAAGGCCAATCGCAGCCATGCTCTGCCTCTTCCCAAAGGAGTTCTAATAGAAGGAAACGGTTCTGAATCAGAAAGCATGTAAAACATCCAAGAGGAAACCATGCTCAGGTTGACTGAAGGATTGACTTGTCTTACTTGAGCCCTGGAAGGTCTTTGACGCTGGCTGTGATCTCACCAGCTTCCGGAGTCAACTTCTCCACTAGCTCCAGGGGGCCCCAAAAGGACTTGTTCTGACCAAGGAATGTCTTCTTAGCTTTAATACATGAAGAATTGGGACAAAGGGGTCACCAAATGAGGACACTGGATGCACAAAGCAGAAAGAGGAAATTGAAACAATGCAATCTGGTGCATACTTTTGAGTCCATGCTTCAGGCAGTGCTCCATCACTACGAAAAACTGCTGCAACGGAGCATAGTCCGAGTCCAGAGTTCGGCCCAGGTTTAGTGCAGACTCAATCAGACCCTTAATGCTCAGCTTGGCCATGTTCATCAGGTTAAGCCTCTCGATGGCGATTGGGTCCTTAGGATCTGAGGGCACATGAAAGATCACACACCACATTATAAGGCACTACTGTCTAAGACTTTGCCTATGTTTAGAGAGATGGTGAATTTTTATTACCACACAGGTGGTCCTTCCCTTCTGAAAACCATACAATTTGATTCAGGTCTCAAAAACAATGAACAAATTACCCTTTTTTATTCATCAGTCATTTTGGTTCCAATGTAATGTGAGTGTGATACTTGGCAATGCACACCCAAATCAACTAGGAGCTTCTGAATATCCTCATTCCTATGGTCACAAGGCAGCTTCACAGCATGGAAAATAGTAAAAATAAGCCTAACTTCAGTATTATTGAGTACTTTATATCAAATATGTAAGTCACTTACCATGGTAAGTTTTAAAAGGTTTTAACCAACTTCAACTCAATTAATAGTCAAACCAAATGTAGGAACCTGGCTTTCAAGGCACAAGAAACCTATAGTATATAACGACAATTTCTGACCTCATTCACAACATCTGTAACTGCCACAAAATAATCCCAGTTTAATTGTGTGCTTAAAAAAGTGCATTATTTCTGAAGTGGTCCCCTTTTACATTATGCTAAAATGACACATATGAACGTATATTTTCTTGCATTGTTTGTCTTTTAAAAAGAGGTGCTTGCACTGTCTAGAAGACTGAAGGAGAAAAAAGTAATGTTTCTGAGTCTAATTAACCCATCATTGCAGAGCACTTCCATAAAACACTAATTCAAAAAAGTCTCATTAGTTCGTCTGTATGTGTGACAGAAAAAAACATATCAGGCATTTAGAAACAGGAAACTCATTCTTCACAATTCTACGCATGAAAATTACTAACACAGGATATAAAAGCTCATTTTATATAATTTTAGTGTAGTGGTAATCGGGCTGTGACAACGTCAAAAGATCTTATTTTAGCATTTGTTTTTATGCTACTCTAAATCAAAGTGACAGCCTACTTCTCCATAAGGCAGCACTAAAGCACTGAGGGTCAAATAAGGTGAGAATAGATTTCTTGTGACAAAACAATAGAACCAACTTCTCAGCACTGCAGGAACTAATTTAAGGTGCAGATTTACAAGGAAATGGAGTGAGTGCGAAATGTCTAAAACACCATGCAAGTGCCAGGAAAAAACAGCCAGAGAGAACAAGGTGGGGCAGATGGAGAGAAAGACAGAGGGACAGAATCTGGAAAAAAAAAGACATACAAACAGAATAAGTTCATCTAGCTAGCGAAACAGCTACAAGTTACAATAACTACAAAGCAGGGCACCTATGACCGAAAGAGGAACGAGAACAGAAATAGAAACATAAAAAAAAGCAATGCGAGACGGAAAACAAGCATGACAGAGACGACCAGTGAACATCAGCCTTCAGAGTAGCCGTGCGGTGTGCTGTTGAGAGGGGCTGCAGCTATTGTGTGAAAAGGGCAGGGCTGGATGGCCACTTAAAACAGCTGTTATGGCTGGATGGTGCCTGAGGTGAGAGTGATGGGAGAAAGCGATGCCGCCATACGCACCTTTAAACTCATCAAGCATTTGCATTTGTTCCATCAATTCTGTGAAATCCTCCCATGAATCTTTGCAAAGGGCAATGAAAAAGAAAAAAACAAAAACAAACAAAAAAAAACAAACAAACAAAAATTGTTGTTTCATGTGTTTCATGCTTATCATTGGTGTAGACTAAAGCAACTACAAGAAGCAATGCTCCCAGAAGACTTTGCAGCTAAGACATGGCCATGAAGCTCTTATTAATATGATTATTCAGGCTTTAGTATCATTACTATAATCTACATGAATAACTGTAAAATTTAAAAGTAATTTGGAAAAACTCTTTCCAAATTTATTTGTTGGCATTACCTAAAATCTCATTTTACACTCCAGCAGTTAATCTTGAATCAGCCACAAATGCAACTGACAAAGTCTCATAAAGCCTAAACGTTTATCGCTTTTGCCCAGCCACCACTGCCACCACAAATAAAAGAAATGAACAGTTGTAAAATGCAAGCCAGACCTTCTACAAGCTCTCCCCTTAGTGGCAGTTTTATGGATTCAAACATCAAGAAAGCAGTGAAACAACTAACTCAGTGAGCCAGGAACACGCCCCACAGTAGAACTGTTTCAGATTAAATCACTGCTACCCTGAATTTAATGGCTGCCTACAGTCTAAAACGGTTGTATCCTAGTTATATGAAGCCTATCAAATTTGCTGCATTTTGTTCTCCATCATAGAGAAGAATCATTCAAACATGCAGCGAACCACTGTTGCATTCAAATGGTTCTTGGACATAATGTGTACATATTTCCATTGCCTTTACTGACGAACCACTGGATCTCATTTTTAAGGATGTAGTGTGAATCAATATTGTGAAAATAAAACTGGCTTAAAATAAAAAACCAGAGTGTCAAGAAGCTCAGTGTTTTGCTCATCTGTGCAGAGAACACTTATCTTGCCTCAACCGAAACCAGTATTTGTCCAACTGAATGCCCCAAGGAAGAATTTAATATTCCAGTTCCATCTCCACACCACTGGAAATAACACTGCTTTCATACATATTCACTAGGCAAATGGCCCTACTGTGTGGATTATGTGTATAATCTAACCGTGAAAGGCTCTCCGTGGGGAAGTGCTGAGTCAAATGCATTAAGACAGGCGCTACACACAGTAGCACAGGCTGTCCACACACATAACTGCCAGTGTACAGCGAACTATTAAAAGTGACTTACTGAATGATGTACCATGCGCAAATGCAAACTGACTTTGGTCATGGTCTCACATGTCTATGAGGACAACCTTGGAAGAAACAGTAATGTTTGAAGGTGTTATCACTTCAAAATGCAAACAACTGATTTAGCAAGTGTCAAAGGAAAATCAAAACAGAAGGCACTCTATTAGGGTACTTAGAAAGAAGGAAAAGAAAAGCACACACTCAAACAAACATCACATCACTTTATCTCTTACAGTATGAAGCCAGTTCTGCTTCCTGCATCTACAGGAATAATGCATTACCTAGAAGAGCAGATGCTGTAATCTACTCTGGGCCCATGGGCCACATCTTTTCCTATGGGAACTGATCACGACTCAACACAATAACATGCTGAGTGGCAGACCCATCCTCGTCTCCAGGGTAACAGCACTGCTGTCAGATTCTCATCATTTCATGCTAACGTGGCTGTGTGGATCTTGACTCTCCTGGGATGAACTGATAGTACTGAGTGCAGCGTCAATGATTTGTTTGAGCTCTGGCATCAGTCCTTACTATGTATAGAGATCTCCCTCTTCATATCCAGTAAGTATCCACTTTTTCAGCGATATGGAATCCGATCCTTTCATTCTTATTTGGATTCATGTTTGCTTTTACAAGAGATGCCTGTTAGCTTATCTAGCCACACAAATCTGGCCAGGTTTACAACAAATTAGTAATAAAAATATTAGTGTACAACACAGTGCAACAGTGCCTAACACACCGCAACCCAATTTACAAGTTGCTTTTCTCAAGAGAGAACAAGATAGCTCTAGAGAAAACAAAACAGCTTATTTGTTCACTTAAAGCACTGGCCAAAATAGTGTCAAAACAACAAACACTAGTAAATAGGCTTTCACAGCTAGGTAAAGAGAAATAGGAATATAAATGTAAATATTTATCATGTATTTGCATATAGGTCTCAGCTTTCAAATAATGTTTGCCAGATGAATTACCAACAAAAAGGTAACAGGACAGAGCTGAAGGTTTTCCACTGTAATGCATTTAGAGAGTTTTCTATTTATAACAGAACTGGAGTGTTGCTTAATTTAATCAACATGACCACAATTTCCAGAAGATTTATTGAAAACAACAGGACAGTGTACAGTTTGCCAGTGCTAAATTATGTTGTATTCAGTCTTAAGCCAAAAAGGACTAAAGCTTTAAGCATCTCAAGACACTGTAAAATGTAGCAGTCAACACAACATAAGGGATATAGGAATAGACGAGACTGGACACAAAAGGAACTAAATGAAAAGTGATGTTTTTTTCCCACCACGGTTAAATACATATCAAATTCTTGACTGCATCCTCGACAAAACGTATCTTTGACTAAATACAGCATTAATCTTTTTCTTCCAGGGCCTCTGGCTGACACGCCTTAATTGACAAACAAGCATCCTCCACTTACAGCAGGACTAAATTGAAAAAACAGTCTCCACTCAAAACTCCCTAAAAACTACAATTCCAAGCAGGCTTGTGGGAACGCTGGCAGCATGATGGTGGAGGGCTCGGCCAGTGCGGCCCAGCACCTACCTTCATGGGCTGGCTCGGGGTCAGGCGTGAGCGAGATGTCGTTCAGCTCGCGCAGGCACAGCCACTCGCCATCCACAGACACGCGAAAGTTGCAGAGATAGATGGTCTCCCGGGCGGCCTGCGTGATCTTGTCCGTGGTGGGGGTGGGGGCCTCGCTCTGGGGCGTCAGATCAGACATGGTGACTCAGCTGCTAGCAGAGAGACGACAACAACAACACTGCCAGCGATGGCGGCCCTCACCAAACGCAGGGCAGGATGCCGATCAAGAGGGGGAGGGGAATAAAATTCCACTTAAGCTCCTGCCAGTGGTCCTCGCAAGCACAATGGAAAGAAAGGGGGAAGAAAAGAGAAAAGGAAAACAATGGGACAAAATAGGGCAGGGCAATGAAAGGCAAACAGCAGCCACCAAGAGAACTGCGAAACGATGGAATTCTTCTTGTCACTCCCCTCAACTCCCCCCCAAAGCAAATGAATGAGGAGAAAATCCACCGTATGAATAAAGGCTGCCCTGTCCTCCGGTCCGGCTCACCAAGCTCAGAGGATTGAGATGTTGCGCGAGGATGAGTGGCCAAGCTACAATCCCAATCGTTCTCTCTCTCTCTCTCTCTCTCTCCTCCTCCTCCTACACAGCCCCCGTTCTGAATAAGCTGGATTGGCTGTGCGCACTGCAATCAAGTGGGTGTTGACCAAGATGGCCGCTGTGATGCTGAGCAGGATTGTGGGAGTCACGTGAGCAGATGGTGCAAGCGTAGAGAGATTTATTCCCTAGAGGCCGGGCTGATGCAGGAGTGTGCTCATCCGTGATCCACTTCTCTTGGCTCAGAGAGGCTGCCTGAGAGAGGGACACAGGCTCTACTAATCAAGCCTTGATTGTGGCCACTGTAAACAGAATGCATTTTCTGGTTCAAGATTGGGGGTTCAAGCATTAGAGAACAGATTTATTGCGATAAAACTCTCCAGTTATAAAGTCTATTTTACCAACAGTTCAGTTCTGGCATATAGAATGAAAAAGGACTTGGTAAATGTCAAATAGAATCACCAATCTTCGCATAACAGTTTGTATGCTTGCTTGAGGTGGATAACTTTGCTGGTAGAAAAAAAAGATATAAATTAGGATGAAAAAACATTTGCCAAATAAATAAGCAAATGTGAAGGGAATAAAGTTATGTGACTGATCAAATTTTTCATTTTTTGTCCACTGTAAAACTCACCTAATGAGCAAACTAACCACCAATAAATTGTCATTTTCTGAGAGATTGGCCCTTATTCATTAAAGCTGCATACAGTCAAATCCGACCGCAACTTTCACCAACAGTTTTGTTATTCAGTAATTATATCTTTGGTGTATCTTAATTTGAGTGTACAGGCTTAACAATCAGGAAAAAAAGCCTGCTTAGCAGTTTACTAACCAAAACTTCAACCGTTTCCAAAAGAGTCGGGACACTGTGCAAAATGTAAATTAAAGTAGAATGCAATAATATGCAAATTATGTAAATTCTTTATTTAACTGAAAATAGTACAAAGACAACATACTAAACAACGAAACTGAGAAATTTTATTCCCATTTTGAATTTGATGCCAGCAACACGTTCCAAAAAGTTGGGACATTGTGGCATGTTTACCGCTGTGCTGCATCACCTCTTCTTTTAATAACACTCTGTAAGCATTTGGTAACTGGAGACCGACTGCTGTAGTTTTGAAAGTGAAATGTTATCCCATTCTTGCTTGATATAGGATTTCAGGTAATCAGCTGTTCTGGGTATCCTCTGTCACACTTTTCGTTTCATAATGCGCCAAATGTTTTTCTGGCCAGTTTAGCACCCAGACTCTTACTATAAAGTCATGCTGTTGTAATACATGCAGAATGTAGTTTGGCATCGTCTTGCTGAATTAAGCAAGGCCTTCTCTAAAAAAAGACATCATCAGGATGGCAGTATATGTTGAAAAACCTTTATATGTCATTCAGCATTAACAGTGTCTTCACACATGTGCAACTCACCCATACCATGTGCACTAATACGCCTCGCACAATCATGGATGCCTGCTTTTGAATTGTGCACTGATAACAAAGCTGGGTGGTCCTTAGCCTGGAGGCAGGCTAAAACGTCTACGATTTCCAAAAAGAACTTCAAATTTTGATTCATCTGACCACAGAACACTTTTCCACTTCTTCTCAGTCCATGTTAAATGAGAAGCGGTGTTTCTAGTTCCTGTTTATTTATGGTTTCTTCTTTGCATGGTAGAGTTTTAACTTGCATTTGTGGAAGCAGTGATAAAGTGTTCGGTGTTCACAGACAGTGGTTTTCGGAAGTGTTCCTGAACCCATGCAGTGATTTCCACTAAAGAATCATGTCTGTTTTCATTGCAGTGTCACCTGAATGCCTGAAGATCACAGCCAGCCAACAATGGTTTTCGTCTTTGTTCCTCCTTTGCTCCTATTTCTCCGGATTCTCTGAATCTTGATAAAATGATATAATGTACTGTAGATGATGAAATTTGACATTGCTATTTGATCACAGAGTGGTGAACCCTTTATTATCATCTTCACTTCTGAAAGAATCAGGGGACTCTGGGATGCTCTTTTTATACCCAATCATGTTACTGACCTGTTGCCAATTAACCAGCAGGTGTTTTTTTTTTTTTAGCATTACACAACTTTAGCAGTCTTTTGTGGCCCCTGTCCCAACTTTTTTGAAATATGTTGCTGGCATCAAATTCAAAATGGGCATATATTTTTCAAAAACAACACAATTTGTCAGTTTCAACACTTGCTATGTTGTCTCTGTACTATTTTTATTAAATATAGGGTTTAAATGATTTGCACATCATTGCATTCTGTTTTTATTAACATTTTGCATAGCATCCCAACTGTTTTAAAAATGGGGATGTATTATCAAAATGATCTAAAATAACAATGATAAAAATATAAAATAACAATAATACCAATCATTTATGCACATGGCACTCCAGTACAAAAGTGGGTGTGCTCATTTTATGCGCATATTGGAATAAAGAAATATGCTTTTGCTTTATGCTACTGACACCACTCAGAACCTAAAAAACAAAACAAAGCTAGTGCAGAAGCATCTTATACACTAAAATAATAGGTAAACAATCACACTACACAAATCACCTCATTCTATTGTCTTAAAAACTACAGTGCTATTCAGAAAGGATTTTTTATATGACAAAGCAGGGTAATACAATTTCTTCCACCATTTCTCAGTTATTTTAGTCCCTTCCAAATGCACCATGTCAGTCATATTTAAGGACTGCATGCTCCCGCCTCAGTAAAGATTCTGGCTGCCTTTTACCTTCTAAAAAACAAACCACAGAAATAGCCCTATATTAACCCTGTGAAAATCGACATGTCAGTAAAAACACTGTTACATCCTGTGAAAAGCAGTTTCTTAAGTATGGAGGCACTTGACGCATTTACTTGTGTTCCCTCTGCCTAAAACCAAGCTGATATGCACTGTCCTACCTCAAGCATACATTTCAGAACATTAAATCTATAAAAATTACAGAAAAAAAATGTTTGATTTTGTGCGATTATGTAGACTTCCCAAGCTAATGACAATGGTGGACACAATTCACCCTCCTAAGACAGCAAAATGTATGGTTGGGGTAAACAGAACAACAGCTAAATTAAATGTTTTGTACTCATCTCTTTAGTAAAGGCAGTCTGTAAATCAAGCAGCCACTCCAATTTCTGTTACTTACACGAAGATTTCTTATCCCTTGTGAATTGGCCATAAACATTACAGACGTCCTGTGGTAAACCTGCCTCTCCCCACTGAAAACTAATCCCTTCTGAATAGTACTGAATAGTGCTTTTTCACATTTTATTCTTTCCAGTTATTCTAATTTTAATACTATAAAGTTTGGTCAATAGTATATAAAAGGGCCACTGCATCTACATTATGTCTCTATGCTCTTATGATGTGAAACACAAACAATATCCATAATATTAACCAAAACAGCACCAAGAAGTTTCTAAACATTAAACGTTTCTGTGTAAACTCACTTTCCTTATATTTCTCAGAGACGTTTTTAGAGATGTGACCATTGAGAGTTCTATTACATGGATAACCAACCTGCTTATAAAAAGTTTACACATCCTATAAAGCCTTTCCAATTTCATGCAAATGCAAAGAAAATTCTTTGAAGAAGAAAACCATGTAAACGGTCACCCTCAACTGATTAAGTCAACATTCTCAGCAATGCCAAGACCAAATCAATATAAAACTCAACATAATGTTTCTTTCAAATGGAAAACTTTTGATGGAAGATGGAAAATCAGTCTTACAATCATTAAAATTGTTTAAGCTATCAAAAAAAACAAAATGCATAAGCTAACACACACACAAACACACACACACACACACACACACAGACATACAGAAATGTAAATGCCATATTATCACATTTCTTTGAACATTGCTGACCTGACTGAACAAATCCATAAGATCAATGTGAACATTTTCAGTGGAGATGAATTCTGTCACATAAAGCTCAGTGGTTGCAATTCTGTCAAAACACAAATGAATGGCTATTGTGCACTTCTGTAGATTAAAAGAAACCATGGCATGAATTTGTAAATTTGTTAACTGACTGGTCAAATTCCCTGAGCAAAATATACTGATATCAGATATACTGCTTCTTGCACAAACACTGTATAAGTTCCCCACTACTAGCAAAAAAAGCTGTATAAATCTAGATAATGACTAGATAAGTGTATAAACGAAATGTCTCCAGTAGTATCAACAGAAACTGCTCTCCTGCAACAAATAAATTCAGTCCCAATCTGAACCCATATTTGTCAAACTGAATGAATGTTAATCTGGGATTAGTTTATGCTTTTTACATAGCACTGAATATGACTACATGCACTGATGAGAGCTATCCTGACACATAGTTATTTGCCAGCAAATATGAATGCAAAGTTTTGCACGTGTAGCATAATCAATATAATCAACTCATTACATTTCACAATCTCCCTCAAATGCATTCCACAGCAACAGCCAGACAGGGCAAAAACTCAAAGTTCCAAAGTCTTCCAACACAATCAGCACAGCACTTGTCTTTAAGCAATGAAAGGTGTTAAAGGACAGCAATAACGGGTCCCTACCATTAAAAAAAATATAATCCAGCACAATTTAGACTGAGAGCATTATCTAGTTCAGAAACAAATATCTAAGATGTAAAAATTCTTTCAATCACAAAACTTCTTTTTTTCAAGCATTCATCATGAAAAACCATTTTTTTGGAGTTACCAATGGTTTAGTGTTTTTTGTATATCCTATTTTAACAGGCTGGCATCTATGCTTAAAATATGGGGCCTCCAAGCACTCCACATTTTTGGGTCTTTATTGCTCCAACTTGCCCAATTCAACTTAATAAACCCATTGTGAGTGGGATCAAAGACCACTGGTGCATCCTCACTACTTACAAAACTGGAATTACAGCCCATAATTACAACTAATAATTCAGTGTCCTATTTTTGGCCAATGAACACCAATGAATGTACAGTTACTGGAGCTGGGCATGTCCATTCTTTCCAACAACACAAAAGGAATTTAGTAGATGACACTATCGCCACACAATGAAGAGTGGCAACACAATTCCAGGCAGGAATGCCACTGCTATACCAACCACAGTCTTAAGTGTACA